ATTTTTCTCCTTTTGCACATGATAAAATTGATGCAATGGCCATTCCTGGCATCTTGTTTGATAGTATTACTAATAAATAATCAAATTTTTCTCATTTGGGGGTCTGTGGTATTAATGAATAGAGAGATATGAGGTTATGCTGCATTAGCATTAGAGATATGTGCTAAACACACAAGGTACTGTGTTATACTGTGGTACTGTGTTTTTACTGACTGTAAAACCACTGCTGGTGGCAAAATAAAAACCCTCCTGTAAGGTAAACAACAGAGGGAACATGTAACAGCCAGAGGCAAGCAAGAAAAATAAATTCCACTGTGCTTTGAGAAAACCTGGGGTTGAGGAAGGAAGCAGTGAGGAGAGGCTTTCAGGAGGATACACTCAGCTTACAGGGGCTTTCTAAAATGTGCAAAATTCTTGCAGCAGCAGAGAAATGCAGAGGGGGACAAACCTCACCAGGGCTGGGTCAAGGAAGGGTTGGGAAAACGTTGCCAGGGTTAGTAATAATTTTTGGGGTGTTTTTTCCCCAACAGTGAAAGTCACCGTTCTCAAATGTGACAGAGAAGTGCACCTGATGGGTGTCAAAGACTGCAGGAGTCTAAATGAGTAGTGAGGTACCAACAAAACCACCCCCAACAATAAACAAGAACATTTATTCTGTTAACAGAACTAATTAATTTTTAATCTTTTAGACACTGCCATCCAACAGGAATTTAACCATGATTTAAGAGTTCATGTCTATTAGCTGAGGTTTTTGGTCTGAAAACTCTGCTGCAATCACTACACAAGAAGTCTTTCTCCAGATCTCCTGCATTTCTTAGATCCACCTGGCTGAAAACCACCATTAGACCAAAGTTTCTTAAAACAAGGACATTAAAAAATGGTTTAGTAACCTCTCTTGACAAAAAAATCAACTAAAATTCTGTATGGAAAGAGAGGTTGTGACCGTCTGTACTTAAAAGAAAACAACAGACCAGGCTGGCTTAAGTTTGCCTGTAAAATATAATTGCTTCATCTCAGCTGATTTACCCACTCCTAAAACCTAGAAACACCTCCATGCAAAAAAGTATTGAAAACAGCTTTTTACATCACTAAAACTTTTTACATCACTGCAAATATAACTCAAAATCTAGAAATTAATTTCCAGAGAACAGTTTTTTCTCGACAAACTACAATATTCTAGAACAAATATACTCAGAAAAACAGGATAGTCCTGGACAAAACAAAGGTTTGAGAGATGACCAGCCAAGTATCACAGGCCAAAACTCTGTTTAAAATGTCACAGTAGTGCCAGGATGTGATGTGAACAAGTTGTGACTGAATATTTCATCCATAGACAGTCTGTGGATCATGGGCTTCCAAGTTTTCCCTACAAAAGTAGGTTTTTTCCTGTATTTTTTTAAAATCATATTGCTCAGAAGAATAAAGATATTTTGTAATTTGCTTATCAACACCAAGAGCCCCCAGGGAAGTTGTTTTATTCCCTGCAAAATAATTTTTTCCACAATTATTCAGCAGCTGTGGTCATTTGATTAATTAATTAATGAATTATTGTGGCTCAAAACCAAACCAACTGCTGCCATTTTCCAACAAGTTTCTCAGGCCTTTTGACCACTCAAAATCTATTTGAAATAAACTTGAATTTTTCAAACAATGGAACCATAAGAACCAAGAGTGCTTTGCACTGCAGGGGTGCTGGGGGATTTCAGCTTTATGAGCAGGAGCCACTCTGAAATCTGGCATCAGCCTTCAAAGCCACCCTCATCACACCTTTGAGCCTCTTACTGGGAATATGACTGGAAGCACAGCAAGAACAGGTCAGATTTACTTATTTATATTGAAGCAGGGCAAATAAATCAATCATTTCCCACAGCACTGCCAGATTCAGGCAGGCTCAGTCTGCACAGCAGCTCCCTGACTCTGCTCTGACGCTGGGTTTGTTGTGAGCAAAGCTCGGCTCCGTGGTGTCTGTTCCATCTCTGGGGCTTAGAGGTAGAATGGGCAACACCTGGTGCAAAGCAAGGTCTGAAGTGCAGAAAGTTGCCTAAAATCATCTTGGGAGCTGCTGGTGGAGTGCTGCACCTTGCTTTTTCTACTTAACCACAATGATGCAAGCATAAGCCTATTACAGCCTGGATTCATCTGACCAGTTCTGGACTTCCCAGGACTTTTGAGGTGCAGTTTATTCCAGGAGACAGCTCAGACACGCTATATCCAGCAGCACCTATTTTATTTCATCAACTCTAATAGCAGTCAAGGGTGCTCAGCTGAGTCACAGACACAGACACAAACACACAGGGGTTTGTTTCGGTCAGGGGTCCAGCAGTTATCTCAAGCCCTGTAGTTACTCTCTGGCTGCATGTCTCAAAAAAAAAAGAAAAAAAAAAGAAAAAAAAAGGAAAAAAAAGGAAAAAAATGGAAAAAAAAGGAAAAAAAAAAGGAAAAAAAAAGGAAAAAAAAAAAGGAAAAAAAAAGGAAAAAAAAAAGGAAAAAAAAGGAAAAAAAAAAGGAAAAAAAAAAGGAAAAAAAGGAAAAAAAAAAAAGAAAAAAAGGACAAAAGGGACAAAGAGGGGAAAAGATGGGGGGGGGAAAAAAGAAAAAGGCAGTGCCACAAGGAAAATGATACCAATAAATCCCAAAGCAAGGCAATGTTTTTGTGATGTACCATGGGATCAGTGTGAGCAGACTGGGACTCACATCTTCAGGGCTCATAATTTACAAGACAACCAGATTCTTCAGATTTTTCTGTTCCCTTGAAGGAGAAGCCATGTCTGTGATTACACCAAAAATGCTTTCAACGTACAGCTGTTTTACACTCCTCATTAAAATTCACCCAGCTACCACACATTCCTGAGCACAGGAGCAGACACACATTTAGGAAGATTTATTTACACGAATCTGACCTAAATCGGTGCTACTCATCCAAGATCAAATTCCATTCCAACATGAGCAGCCAAAGCAAGTTAAACTTGCAACATAAAGTGCTGCCAGAGTCCTATTTTGAGAAGTTAAGTATAATTTAAGATTCATGCTGCTTTTGCATGGTGAGCAAAAGTCTGTTCCTTGAGACTCCATAGGGAGACTCCATTCCATAGGGAGAATAAATCTCAAGGATTTATTATATATTATATTAAATATATATATTATAATAATATATTCTATTATTATAAATTATATTATATTATTATATATTTATTATATATTCTATTTTTATTATATTATTATAAATCTCATAGGATGGCCTACTCCCTCCTGCCTCCTGAGGACATTTCACAGATATCCTGCAGTCAGGGCTGGGTGAGCATTTTCTCAGCTTCTGTGGAAAAATTCTCAGCAGCCACTTGTCAAACAGGACCAGATGGCTGAAGGCAAATGAGCACTGCAAAGCCTTAGCAAGTAAGGAGCTAAAATCACACTCCTTACTCAGAGAGCCATCTCTCCTGCACAGCACCCTACCCCAGAGAAACAGAGCACAAGTTCCTAAATAACATCAAGCTTGGAGTACTACACAGGGAATCCCAACCCAACACTGAAATAGCTCATTGAAGGTGCAGCTCTCACAGCAAAGCAGAGTTTCCTGCTCTTTCTGCATTCCCTGAGGGAATTGCTGAGCCAGGAGGGTGTGTGGAAGGCACAGATAAGACATTCCACCAAGGGACTTTGACATACCTCACTCTGCTGTGTAGGCATAGCCTCAGGATGGCAAAGAGAGACTCCAACACCTTCAAGAGCCTGGAAATACCATCCAGAAGGCGTATTTACAGCTTTAAGAAAGCCAGTCATCGTGGCCTGAAACCCTACAGCAAGCTTGCTTGCCATCTGCCCAAGTAAATTGGCCATTTGTCCCTATTGGAGACAGCTGGGCTGTTAAAGCAATTAAGGTGGCACAGGGAGGGCGTGACATTTCTGGTTTGGGAAGTGTTTGAAGCACTGACAGCACTGAAACATTCCTGATTGTGAGGAGTTGACATTCTTAAGTGAATAATGAAAACAGGCATTTATGAAACACCAGCCCTTGCAGAAGTTCAAGTCAAAGAAATAAGTTTCCTTCCTTTGTTCCTATTGAAGAGATTTACACCAAATGAAAGAATTTTGTCTCTGACAATGCAAAGCATTCATAGTCACTGGCCAGACTTTTACAGCATGCATATTTGTCTTTTGATATAGGACATCTGTGAGCTAGCAACAGTAATAAATCTGAATGTTAGCACAGATAGTTTTCCACATTTTAGGTCAAATGCTATCAAATTTAGCTTATCAGCTTATTAAGATAAAACAAGCTGCTTTGTCATTAGTTTTCTGATTAGTTGCTTGGCTCCAAATCCTGGGACAGTAAATAGGGTTGTTGGTTTCCATTTTTCCATAGTGTAAATTCTTAATGCCCACTGGTTATCCTTATAAATCATAAACAGGGAAATCACTGCTTGATCCCTGGCTAGAAGAGGGGAATGTGATGATTTCAGCATGTTTAAAACACACATTCCTAACATACCTAACTGGTCTGTAATTTTTTCACAGTACAGGGCCTGAGCTTAGTGGTTGGGTTCCTTGATCTGCAGCCATCCTGGTTTTGATCAACAAGCTATGCAGTGACAGTCTATTGAGCTGGATACCTTGAGAGTTGTGGTATTGTCTTCCAAAGCTAGCAGCCTTTCCTGGGAGCAAACAGGAAAAACGGGACACAGCTTTGCAGAGCTCTCTGCCACAGCTGTCCTTTGCTGGGTGCAGACTGCAGCATCCACCAGGCTTTTGCAGGTCTAACCCATGGGAAAGTAAAGGATGTGCCCTATGGAGAGAGGTAAGTGCTGCTGCTTTAGAAAAGAGGACTTGAATGTGCTCCAGGAGGGCTGGAAGAGCTCCAGCAAGGAAAATTTAGCCAAACTGCACGTCACATGTCTGCTCTTGTGCTGGGAGATCTGAGAGGAAGATATAAAAAACAGGAAAAAAAAGAGAAGAAAATTACGTTTTTCTAATACATTTCACAACATGTGTTCTTATTTTAGAGTCGACATACCGTCACCAAGCTACCATTGATGATGAAGTGGTTTCCATGGAGATACTAGACACAGCTGGCCAGGTGCGTGGGTGCCTGTGCTGCTGCTACCCAGTGCCTTGGCTGGGGTGTGCAGCAGGGCAGGAAATTGTGCTGGTGGCAGCAGTGCAGGGGCTGGCAGGTGTGCCCCACTCTGGGGACACAGATTTCCTTCCGGGCAGAACCCCCTCTCTCCTCCCCTGTGCTGGATCCACACCCTTCCCATCAGGGATCCTGCTTGGAAGAACAAACAAGTCAAGGGGTTTACTCTGGGGATAAAATTATTTTGTTGTCATGCTTTTTTATTCAGGGCCAGTCCAGAAAGCAGGCGCAAAGTCACAGTCTATTTCTACAGTCAAGTGATGGGGCTCGGCAACTTCAGCCAATGATTCCCACCAAAGTGAAGAGCAGATTTGCCATAGTTGGGTCTCCCTTGTAAAACATGGCAGGTGCAGGTGCTGCATAGGCCAGATAGGTCATGGCACTGGGTGGAATAGATCTCCTATGCCATGTGATAAAAAAGGTGATGTGAGCAAAGTATAAGGTAAAGCAGATGCACACAGCTTTGTAGGACCAGCACCTGTCTGAAGACCTCCTGTCTTCTTCATAAATCACCCTTCTGCAAGGGATCCTCCTTGGAAGAACAAACAAGTCAAGGGGGTGAAATTATTTTGTTGCCATGCCTTTTTATTCAGGGCCAGATCAGAAAGCAGGCACAAAGTCACAGTCTATTTCTACAGTCAAGTGATGGAGCTTGGCAACTTCCCACCAAAGTGAAGAGCAGATTTCAACAGATTTTGAAGACTTGTCATAGTCAGGTCTCCCTTTTAAAACATGGCAGGTGAACATGCTGCACAGGCCTAGGCAGGTCATGGCACTGGGTGGAAGAGATCTCCCATGCCACATGATAAAAAAGGGGATGTGAGCAAAGTATAAGGTAAAGCAGATGCACACAGCTTTGTAGGACCAGCACCTGTCTGAAGACCTTCTGTCTTCTTCATAAATCAAATTCCTGAGGCATTCTTCTGTCTTTTCCAACAGGAGGATGCCATTCAGAAAGAGGGACACGTGCGATGGGGCGAGGGCTTCGTGCTGGTTTACGACATCACGGACAGAGGCAGCTTCGAGGAAATGCTGCCGCTTAAGAACTTGCTGGACGAGGTCAAAAAGCCCAAAAACGTCACCCTGATCCTGGTAGGGAACAAAGCAGACTTGGATCACTCCAGGCAAGTCAGCACGGAGGAAGGTGAAAAGCTGGCCACGGAACTTGCGTGTGCTTTTTACGAGTGCTCAGCCTGCACGGGAGAGGGGAACATCATGGAGGCCTTCTACGAGCTGTGCCGCGAGGTGCGGCGCCGCAAGATGGTCCAGGGCAAGACTCGGAGGAGAAGCTCCACCACCCACGTCAAGCAGGCCATTAATAAGATGCTGACCAAAATCAGCAGCTAAAGAGAGCTGTCCTAAGCCAGAGAAGTGTTTTAGAGCGTGTTAGCTTGGAGTAGGGATGGGGCAAGCAGAGTTTAATGAGAAATGGTCAAATCTTTGCAATGAAGAAAAAAACCACAAAAAGACAAACGCCACCACTTTTTTGAGTAACACGGAATCATACTGTTTTCCTGTTTTGAAATGTATTTAGCCACACTGCTTCTGACTAATGTGGGGAATAAAAAACAACAAACAAACACCAAATGAACTCCAAATGACTAGACAGTTGTGGGGATTGGCAACCAAGAGAGAATCTTCTGCTTCTACGTGGCTAGCTCCAATCCCCTGCAAGTCAGTAGTGCCTAAACATCACTTCCAGCCAGACAGCTGCTCAGTAGCCTTTGGAGAGTAAGATTCAGCCCTCAGTCCATCAACAACCATCACAACTGGTGTTCCTCAGGACTGAATATGTGTAGAGGCTGCTGTGTTGAAACAGAAAGTTCACCTGACACCTTCACCAGCTCTGAGTTGGCTCACTGTATGCTTTCACTCCTTCCTTGTTATTTTTGTCAAATCCATGAGTGTTGATGTTCTTAGCAAGGTATGCAAAAAATATAGGAAAGGTCTATTTCCTGGAGTGTTTAGCCAGCTAGACACGCATTTCAAGAGAGCTAAAGTTCAGGTACTTTTCCAGCTTCTCTGAAACTGCAGAGTTCTCCAAAATAATCATCTAGTCCAGCAGCATTTCACCATTTCCCCCTCAAAGTGGTTGGGGAAATTGGAGTATGTGTGCTGGGAAATCAAACTGAAAAAAAAAAAAAAAAAGAAGAACCACATTACTATTAATGTAGCTATGGGTAGTTTTTAGATTTTTTTTCTTTCTTTTTTTTTTTTTTTCAATCTAAGTAGTTCCTCTTAGTCTATTTTATACCGAAGAAGAGCAGAATCCTTGGGAAGGCAAGTATTTAAAGTCTAAGCCCAAATGTAAATCAGATCTGAAGGGCCTCTACCATATCAAAAGACCATAATTGTCAGCTGTTTAAATTCCCAGATGCTGCTTGGAGCACTCTGGGGCTCAAAGCAGTGCAGGTTTTTTGTGGCTTTTATCTCGCACATTGAAGCAGAAACACATTTCATCAGATTTTGGTGCCTGGGATAAAAGGTGTCCTGTGCTTTCCTTCTCCCTCATGATCTCATTTAAGTTTTGCCTCCTGTCTAGTTGGTTTGTTAACTGCTAAAAGATGCAAGAATCAAGATTGGAAGCATTTAATTCAGATTGTGCTGGTCTTGCTGGTCTCCCACCAGTGGTGTGGCATCCCTTTGGGCAGCTCAGACTGTCAACATGTAGAACCACAGCCAAGGGTTGGGATGACAAATTAGCAGTGTTCTCCTCTGAGGAACAGCCCCCTTGGAGCATTTACTTACAACTTCATTCTCCACTGCTTTGTACTTCATGTGGTTATTTGTGAGGAAGTGACTCCAAAAGCCTGTCAAATTCAAATTGCCACAGATGTAGGAAAGTGAGTAAATCTAGCTGGCTAGAACTTTGTAAAGCTGTAGGTAGCCACATAGGTGGTGGAACAGGCTGAAGAGGCAGATCTGTATATCCATGTGAACAGAGAAAAGTTCCAAATTATGACTTCTTTCAAAAGTATTCTCTTAAAGATATTTTACCAAAATACTTTTTTTTTTTTAGACTTTAAACTTTCACTTTTACCCAACCAGCAAAGAACATCACATTCAGATGTATATTTTATTTGGGCTGTTGTTTGTTTTCTCTGCTTCTGTATTCTAGGTGGTAAAAACTCATTTCACTGTCCTGGAATCTATATCTATATTTTGGTCCTCATGTTCACGTGTGTTGCTGTACATCAGTTGCACACACTGCAATGGAAACTTCACTGTGTGCTTCTGGGCAGAGGGTTCTTGCAACAGGCCTCTGTGACACACTTGTTCCCAAACTACTCATCATATCATTAACTTTTTTAAAAAAGAAAAAAAAATACAAAAAAAAGAAGAATAGAGGTTTTGCCATTTTTAGTATTGTAGAATCAACACAAGTGTAAAAGAGCAAGCTAGTGCCTGATCACAAACCAGAATTCTTTAGCTGAGGGACTGAACTTGCCAGCAATTTAATTACATTAGGAGCCAGAGTGAGCATTTGCAAGTTGAAGCACTGAGGTTCTGTTATCTTTCAAATCAGTGCTGGTGCACGAAGTAAACAAAATCCTTACCTGCAATCCCATGGCAACGTAGTCATGTCTTTACTTTGGTGTGCTAAGCAATTGGTTCATCCCTCTCAGAAAATCTCAACTGTTCTTTTATCTGAAAATCCTTTCTTGGGGTTCAGGTTGGAGCTGCATTTAAAATACAAAAAGGTTATAAATGAATGACAAGAGAAAATAATTAATCATATTCATGCGAGAAGAGTTGAAAGGAAGGAGAGGCTAAGTTACAGCCTCCCTGTAAGATTTCCAGCAAATTGTATCTTCTTTAATAACATCTCTGTGGATAAATTATAAAATCCTGGTGAAAATAAAATGTTCCTCTGTGCAAACATCCCTTTTTACATAAAGAACCTACAATAAAAATAGAAACATTAATTTGCAAAGACTGAATTCAAAAACTGCCAAACAAGATAAACACTTGGTCAAAAAGGAGGCTGCCATTTTGTGACTTTTCCTCCAAAATTAACACAAACTTCTTTAATTAATTGCTCATTAATTTGTTTCCCTCTAAGCCATTTCTGTTGATATGCATTACATAGCATTAAATGCAACTCGATCTACTGTTGCTCACAATGTTGCAACCTATTACTGGCTATGTTATAAATCTTTCCTATTCCCACAATGTGCAAATTGAGCCCAAAATTGCCCAAGCATTGAAAGGGCTGATTGCAGCATGAACCCACAATCAGCAGCCTTTCTGCAGCAGACATCAACAGACTCAATTCTGTTTCTCCTGCTGCTGTTTAAGTGTGTGTATGTGACACTAATATTGAATTTCTCTGCCCTCTGTCATTTCTGCAGAGAGAGGATGGGAAAGAAAATAAAAATGGGGAGGAGAGGTGAAAGGGATACTTGTTACCTTCAACAAGTTGATTGTCATTTATGAAGTTTTTAAAAATATTTATCTTCAATTGATGAAGAGTTAGTCATGCCCATGCTGCAAGACCTGGATCAGGACCCAAAACTTCCCTAGAACTCTGAGAATCTTTGTATCTGGGGGTTTGGTGCAACTACAGATGGAAGTGAGGATCAGCCACTGGGTTTGCACCTGGATCCAGACAGGTTGTCCCCAACCTGGGGATAGTTGGATCTGGCAGTTTGCTACAAGGCTAGTTGATTTTTATATATATAATGATCTGTATGCATTTTTACATTAAAAATATGAAAGCCTGTGCTTGTAGATAATATATAAGAAAAAAATAAAAAAGAAAAAGCAAATATAGTGTTTTCTGTACTGAACTCTCACATATTGATCATCCATTAGATGTCTCCAGTGTTCCTTCCAGCTATTAAGGGGACAGTTCCAAAAGCTCAGATTTGGTTCTTTTTTAATTTTATTTAGTGACAACAAAGAGTGAATTTTACCAGAATAAGCACTGTAAAATTTGGATCATTTTACTTGAACTTATTTGGCTGTTAGTCCTGGAATAGAGAAGTCAAACAGCATCTACAGTGAGGCACAGCTCCAAATGTCCTTGCTAACTATTTCAAGGTTGATGAAAAAAGTTACAGGGTAATTAACTAACCTCTCTGAAACCCACCAAACACTCTCCTGCCAACTAAATAACACAGACCTTGATCCCAAGCTTCTGAGGTGAAATCCTGGGCTAAGAAGTCTGGGAGATTTATGCTGGTGATTTGGACAGAGGCAACTTTTCACCTGCTGCCAACTCTGCCCCTGTTCCAAGGAAAATTCACTTTTAATCTGAGGAGGAGGTATGTAATTTGTACCTTATGAAAGGAACATTATGTAAATGGTAAATAATCAAACAGAGTGTGGGTATTAAGCTGTAGCAGAGGAAGCTTTAGCACTGCAGAGGGGAGCTGTAATCCATTCTTTTTCCCCCAAACCTGAGCCAACCAAACGGTGAACAGGAGTGGGGATATAAGAATGGTATAAGAATGTCACAACAGGCAGAGCACTGCATAAAATCTGGGTGCAGGATCTATGCTGGCTGGTGAAACCTCCCAACACCAGTCACTGTCTGCCTCTGGAGCACGACAAAGCAGCCTTGAGTTCTGTCAAGCCACAGAACATTATTTTGCTCCAGTCAAAATAATGTCTCCTGCAAAGTAAGTAGCTGCAGTCATAAAGGCTATGCATAAACAGTCTTGGGGTTCCTTTTATCTTTTCCTTTAATGGCTTGATACATATGCAAATCTTAAGAAGAAAAAGAAAAAGAGGCTTTAATTAACAGAGGCTTCTTGGCATTTTGATGTATCTGCCTTTATGCTCTTTGCAAAATTAAACCTATAATGAAAACAGTGTCGTCTTAGAGACTCCGGTGTTGTGCATTTTATTTCCTTTACAGATGCCAGGCACTAATTACCTCAGGCTATGAAAATACAAAGCAGCAGCTTGTCCAGTGCTGTGCAAGGCTTCTAGGAGGTGACAATGGTGTGAGGCCAGCTCAGCCTGGTCCCTGAAAGCACCACTGCCCCATGGGGGAGGCTGTTAATGCAGCAGCAGGAGAGGGGGCAGAGTCCTGGGGCAGGACTCTGCTGGCCCTGGTGGGGCTTGGGCCAGGCCCTGGTCCCCAGCCCTGGCAGCCAAAGTGTGGAGAACACACCCAATGGCCAATTCCTCTCGTCCACCTGAAGGATTTTACCCATTTTCAGTTTCAGTAGACAGGCAGGAAACCCTAAATCCACACAAACCCAGTATTTTGAGGGGAGTTGGGCCTTTTTGGACTGGTCACTTTCATCTCCAGCTTGATTCCCCAAAGCATCATTTTTCTTTTGCTGTTTCCATCATATTAAATGAAGAAATTTCGAGTTTGTTTGGTTGTTTGGGGTTTTTTTTAAAGGGTAGTTGTCAATAAACTCTGATACCCATGAGCAAAGAGGCTATATCACTTCTCAGAGGTCACTCACACAAGGATGGATATTTGCAAATGCCTCTGGATATAAATTAGTCACACTGAACACAGCAGCTCTGAAGAGTTGGAAATATTTTTTTTTTTCAATAATGGAACCTCTCATCACTGTAGTACAGATGGCTGTGTCAAGTACCAGTCCTAAACCAGACTGAAATATTCTGCATCACTAGGAGCAGCCATGGCCTATCATGAAATATCAACATGCAGAATATAAAAAAAAGAAAAAAAAATGGAAAACAATTTACAGGCAGACTTCAAATTATACCTCACAGAAGAAACCTGCACATTCTTTCCTTTTAAATTTTATGTGGTATCAGGAATTTACAGAA